TTAGAACTTAGAAGTGGATGCTTCCAAAGCCAGGTAAACATAGCAGCCGAAATTAACTCTAGAACGTGGAGGCATTTTACTGAGGAGAAAATAATTAAGAAAAGCGAATGTTTGCTAAACGCTATGGTTTGCACCACTGTTTGTATCGGATGGAATAAGATTAGGTGATGCCCTGAACTTTTGGTCTGATCTACATTGTAGGCACAAATCCCTTGCTTAGAGTAGTTAAACTGTGTTTTCTGATTCTTTCTTAGCAAAGGTAATTTTAAGCAAAACTTAAAAATGAAAGGTTGCCTTTGCCTCCCATTTAGAAAACATGTAATGTTTCTATTTGTTTATAGTGAGTTTATTGCTATTTGTTTTATGGTTGCTAGTCATCTGCTTCACTTTTTATATGTGATCAACAATCCATCTTCCTTTCTTTTTTTAAAAAAAGAGCTCCATAGCTACAAAAAGATTATAGCTACTGTTTTCATGGTTTTAGACCCAATTTTACACCACAAGTGAAATATTATATCTATTTACATTTCTAAATTATGTAAGGTTTATAATGTATGCTGCTTGATCTAATTCCTCCTGAAATATTTTATTTTATTTCTATTTCCAAATAAAAGGGGAGCAAAAATCAAAGGGTGAGGCAATATCTCTAAAGAGACAAAACATGGCCCATATATATTAAATTTTCACATTTTTATTATTATTCAAAAATAACTTAAGCCACTCATTGATTTCCTAGCCTGATTGACTCAGTGGATAGAGAGTTGGCCTGTGGACTGAAGGGTCTCAGGTTTGATTCTGGTCAAGGGCACTTGCCAGGGTTGTGAGCTCAATCCCTTTGGTGTGGCATGTAGGAGGAGCTGAGCCATGATTTTCTCTGCTCATTGATGTTTCTCTCCCTCTCCCTTCTTCTATGAAATAAATAAAAAAACTCATTGATTACTACATATATATTTTTGCAGTTGCACAAATACCTTATTCTGAAAATTCCCAGGAAAGCCTGAGAAAGTCTTTTAATGTCATTGGAATTTTAAATTGAAGCCCATTTCTCCCTGCCCACCTCTGTAGGGCCACCTCCCTCCACTCTTCAATGTGGACTCTTCTCTCCAGTCTCCCTGGAGTTTTCTACATGCATCTCACTGTCTCACACTTGCACTTCTCAGCATTCTGTCTTCTCATAAAAAACTTCCCACTCTTGTTTTCTTAAAATATATATTTGTTTATTGATTGCAGAAAGCTGGGTGAACATACATTTTACCTGTCTTAGGTGAAGACTAGGAACCTTTCAAAATCAAAAATTGGTTCCTCAATTTACATGGAAGAGGTAATTTAGTTGCTACCTAAATACAGAATCACTCAAGGAAAGAAATGTAGACAATAGGCCAAATTGTTGATCATTGAGAGCCAGCTAGCTATTGAGGAAAGCACCATGGCTTTGTTCACGACCTCTTGCTAGTCTGTGCTATATGAACTTTTAATGAGAAATGGACTAGACTTTTCTATGCAGAGAAGGTAGTGCTTTGCTATTAAAGTCCATACTTGAGTTTGAGGATCATACAGATTAATGAAAGGACTTAAAAGGATTTTCATACCTTACTCCTATCCTCAAGATCTCGTCATTCTTTAAAACTATAAAGCAAGTCTCTTAAATTAGTTTTATAGTTTCAGTTACTCCACTCTAATGTTGCTTTTTTAACAAGTGGGAAATAAATGCCCCAAAGCCGCTCATTTCTTTATTCGCTTGTATACGTAAGAGGAGTTCATGTCAAGTGGATATGTATTCAATCATAGTTTTAGCACGCTTTTCAGAAATAAATACCTTTATTGTTATTTGTGCCCACTTTATAGAGGAAGAAATTGAGGTTCTGGGTGTTTAAATGATTATCCCTAAGTTTTTGCTCCTATAGAAAGCTTCTCAGTAATTTTACTTATTTCATCAAAGGACATACTGAGAGGTATACATTCTATATTACTTATAATATTTCTTCCAGAACTCGAACTTATGTGGGTGCTCAAGACATGTTTATGGAGTGAAGGAATGAGCAAAACACTAAATGAAAATTAAAAAAAAAGAAAAGAAGGATGAATGTCAGCCAATTTCTGCCCAAATGTTGAGAGAAAAAGTAGGATCATGATTTGGGAGAGGGATACCCGAGTCAGACATCCTCTGTTTAATACCAGGTCAACCTCATACTGCATCAGGTAACTAAGCAGTAACATTACCTGTCCTGCAGTGTGGATGCAAAGTTTAAAGGAATTTGTGTATGCAAATACATAGAACAGTGCCTATGTCCAGTTTAATTTTGCTTTACACATTTAAATGCCAAGGGTTATGTAAATTAGGACATAAATATTTAAATTTTCACTAAAATAACAATTAGAGAGCACATATCATTTGACATTGAATGAATAAAAGGAAGCAAGATATTTTAAACTTTGGCTTATTACTATGCATTTGGTAATCCTGGAAATGGAGCCTACATTCACAGATAGTTCCAGCATAAATATTTAAGGGCACATTATTTAAGCTATCGTGAAATTTAAAAAACACATCACTTTTATAAGATTATAGAATTGACCCTCTAAATTTTATTTTTGTTCCCTGTCAAGTTAAAGAAAATTTAAATGTCACTTAGCGAAATGCAGTCAATTGATGAGCATCTGATATGAAGCTGCTAGCTAGCTATGTTATTAGAGTTCACAATTTAGACAAATATGTGGAATGTAAGCATTCACCTGTTGTTCTCTCTTAATGAATACATATTTCAAAACTAATTTAATATGAACATTATCCACTGAGTGTGACTTTCTTCCCAAGACTCATTTAATCTGCTTCCAGCCGACTTCAGTATTCAAATCGATGTATTTCATCAAAAGCACAGAGCGAAAAAGATGCCCAAGATGTATTTATTTTGACTACGTGATTCCTTCCAGAATACGAGGGAGCTTGGTCTTTAGCACAGCACCTATTGCCCAGGTGAACTGATGGGCAATAATAGCAGGAGTGCATGATGGCCCCTCAGCCCATGAAGCACAAAGAAGAGCCTGCTTTTCTGTAAGCATTTGCGGAATTGCTTCTGACCTCGTTTCATGACACTTGTCTTCTCACTGAAGAAACGAGGCCCCAGAGCGCTGCAAAGTGGGGAGACTGTGCTTCTGTTGGAATCACAGTGACCCAGCACAGCGGAGCAGCGGAGGTTGGTGACCATCATGAGCCAGGCATCTGTTTTCATAGGGTCTGGGGACTGTTTTCTGATTCATGAAAATGTATGCTGAGGTTTGAATGAAAAAAACAGACGCTCTGGCTTATGCTTTATTGTGCTCAGATGCAATCTTTATAATCCCAAATGAAAATAAGCAAATATCCCAGCACACGTTTTATAGACAAAGACTGCCCACAGAATTTATTACTTTGTCCTGTTCTGAGATGATTTGAAACTCAGAGTCTTTCTCCATTTTTATGTGCTGCCAATATCATTAAATCATTGTGAATTAAGCTTGTTAACCCTTTGTAAGATATCTTGACCAGTATCTGTGCCTTAAAAGAAACAACTGATCCTGGCATGTATATGGAGACAAGAACACTACTTAGCAACCCAGGTTTGCCTGAGAAAGGACCCCTTAAAAAGTGTCCTGGTTGTAGACAGTGTACAGATGCCTCTTCCCTTTTTCCTGTAATTTGCAAGGGTCAGAAGTTCAGCTGTTCATGATATCTGCTCTAAAAGTAACAACGCATATATATCCTTAAAAATGGAAATTAATAATGTGGAATAAAGTAGTGTCACTATACTCCTCAGGACATCAGCTTTATTATAGTAATGATTTTCTTTTTGGTTTTTAGAATTATATCAGTATAATTTTTGTTCTCTATCCCAAAAGAGGGTGTGTATGTGTGTGTGTGTACTGTATATGTGTGTGTCTGGGTATACTTGTGTTCTTACAGAGCTCCAAATATATTTTAATTCAAAGTCATGCATTTGCCCTGTGATATTCTCACGCTTTTTAACCCCCAATGTAATGAGTCCTATGGTTAGGGGACAGACAGTCCAAGAATGGGAAGACGGGGTTCTATCACCAAATTCATTATTTACTATTAATGTGAGTTTTGGGGCCCACTTTGCACATTTTCTGAGCAGAGATCACACACCCCTGAATTACAAAGTAAGCCTTGTCTATCTCCAAGCTGTGGGGGGGAGGTGACTGCAGAGAGCTTAGGACAGCGCTTTCCCATAGAGGCGCTCAGCAATGTTAGCTGTGGACAGTGATCTCATCTGTCCTCCTTCAAGGTGACTCAAGGAAGGAGGCAGGCCAGTTTTCAGAAGCCCTCACTGTAGTAAGAGCACCGCTGTTCACTAATTATATGCTCCTTGGCAGACATTTCACATTTCAAAGCCGGTTTCCTTACCTCTAAATTCAGGTGGTAGTCATCTGCCTTGAGGACTTCAAATGACTGTCATGAGGGTTTTAGAAACACTTAATGTGTTACGCAAACAAAAACAGTGGTTGTTTTCCCAGATGATCTTTGGTTCTATTGTAGGTTCCCATTGGGAGAGGCAGTCTTATAGGGGCAGGGAGTCACCCAAGTATTTAAGCATACTTGGAGGGAATGCTTAAAGATCACTTTTGTTTCAGTAATGGGATAGTTAGGGTTCTGTGAATGTGTGTCTTCTTTTGTCAGGGAGTGGTATGGGGTGGGAAAGGACAAAGAATATGTAGAAAAGTGTGAGAGAAATTAAACCTCAAATGTTGTTTTTCATTTTCCTACCTTATTCTTTTTTTTTTTTTAATATATATTTTATTGATTTTGTACAGAGAGGAAGGGAGAGAGACAGAGAGTTAGAAACATTGATGAGAGAGAGTCATCAATCAGCTGCCTCTTGCACACCCCCCACTGGGGATATGCCCGCAACCAAGGTACATGCCCTTGACCAGAATCAAACCCGGGACCCTTCAGTCCCCAAGCCGATGCTCTATCCATTGAGCCAAACTGGTCTCGGCCCCACCTTACTCTTGTTTCTTTATGTTACCATTCCCATAGTCAGTCCTGGTTATAGACTGACACATGAATGAGCGATGTAACTGACCAGGGAAATTTAAACTCCAATGGGAAAACATAAAATGATCAAAGCAATGAGAAGCAAAGGGTTAAAAATAGGGGTGGCCCGGGTCATGGATTGCCAGTGTGTCAGAATATGGATGGCAGTCGAGAAATGAAGAGAACTCATACTAAATTAGAACTATGTGGCTCCTTAGGGTCCATGGAGCAGAAAACACTGGAGAAGTTAAAAATTAAGATAGAGGGGTGTGTGTGTGTGTGTGTGTGTGTGTGTGTGTGTGTGTATTAGGAATGAGTACTTTTGTAGGTGGTATTTAAGCAAAAAAAAGGGTGATTAACTTTAGATTATTAAATTTTATACCACATTGATGAGGATGGCTCTGGCATCTAATGAAGAGTTAAAATGTATATAAAGGAAGAATTCTTAAACTTAAAAAAAACAAATTGTGAGTCAGGGAACTTTAAAGTCATATACAAATTTATTCATTAACAAATGTCATTATCTTTGAATACTGATACTTTGTTAGAAATACTTTTAACTTATTCATATTTGAATATATTGGTGAAGATAGTGTAATATTTAATCACTGGCTTCCTAAGATTTGTATAGCCTGATTAAAAAAAATTAAAGACAAATGAGCAAAGAGGAGAAAATTAAAGTTGAAAATTGCCTTTTGGAATTTAAGTGACTTGTGAGAATAAAGAGTAGAAAAGATGACAAAAGCTATGGGGGAAAAATGTATCACATTCACTGTTAAATATCACATTGAATTGCTTTTCTTTCTAAATAGGCATCTTTCCTTTGCTCTTAGGAATGAAGAGAATGAATTGAGCTGTCTAAGTGATGGCATTGGTTTTTTCTTTTAGTCATACTGATAAAAGATATTTTAAGTCTTTTCTGATTATGTGTTGCATAAGAAAGCACTGGTTCAGCTATCCCTTCCATCAAAGGAATACAGCATTTTACGTGGGTTAACTTCTGAATTATAAAATATATCATCTGGTTTTTAAACTAGCGCATACATATGTTATAGAAAGATATCAGTTGCTTAAAAGTACATGAACTAATATCTTGCATTAGTTAATTTCCCCTGAAGGGAAGACAGCTTGACTTTTTAAAACCTGCATTCAGTATTTATGAACTAAGACTATTCTTCTGGGGTGTAAAACCTTATAACCCCAGAATAACACAATTTAAATGTGTCCACCTGTCCTGTCATTTGACATAAACTGCATGTATAGCAAAATAATGGTTTTTGCTTGCTTCTTGGCTGACAGCAGGCGCTATACGTATTTTCACCTCCTAGTCACTTGGACAGGACACATGACATAAAAAGTTCCAGATACTTGATTTACAAATGGAATCCAAACTGATTTGCTTGCTAAGAGATTTCTGGCCTAAATTCCAAAAAATTTTCTCCATGTCTCATGCATCTTTTATTTAAAATGTTGTTCAGTCACGATTTTCGGTTAATATTTTTCATGAGATGTGTAATTGGTTTCTGACTGTCTTGCTGATAAATGCTGAACAAACAGCTCTCTGAGAGGGAAAAAGAATCATCTTGATTTATTATGTTTGCTGATCTGTGGTAGAAATACTAACACCAGGACTGATTCCAAACAACCCATATGAGTGAGGTCACTGAGGGTGGAGGTGAGAAGAGATACATGCTCATCAGCGAATGCCAGCCAGTGCAAGCAGGCTTCTGCAGGGCTCCAGATGGGACTTGCATTCCAGAATCCCAAATTTCCCTGCTGGAATTTGAGGGAGGCAGGCCCTGCAAGATACAGGGTGGCTCTAGATATCTCCACCAGTTTTAGTGAATGCGATTGATACATGTGAGCATAGCTGTGGGCTCCGGCTCTTCTTCCATTCACACAGAAATCCCTCAGTGACTCTGTGGTGAATTTAAAAGCTAGAAGAGCCCAATCAGGTGTGAGTCAATGGATGAGTGTCAAGCCAGGAACCAAGAGGTCACTGGTTCGATTCCCTGTCAGGGCACATTCCCTGGATTGTGGGCTCAATCCCCAGTAGGAGGCATGCAGGAGGCAGCCCACCGATGACTCTCTCTTCATTGAAGTTTCTTTCCTCCCTTCCTCTCTGAAATCAGTAAAAATATATATTGTTTAAAAAGCTAAAAGAAGTGTTAAATGTTAAGTAAATCATCTCTGTTTTCCAGCACCTCCCTTTGCTTCATCTGCAGGCACATAGGACTCATGCTATAAAACTCAAAGCAGAACAATGCTCGGAGCACATTCCCAGGAGAGATTTAGGAAATTATAATCTTGTTGCCTCTGGAAAACATTGGCCTTTTTCCTCCTTGTCTTGCTGCTCCCAGGATACCTGCTTGTCAAGTGTTCAGTAGGTTCTTTGGGTTTTTGTCATGGCAACTGAGTACCTTGGCTCGGGTCCTGAGGGTTTCCAAATGTTTCATTATCTCTTGTTTTCAATGCTTATTCTGTCACTTTTTAGGATGTTCACCCTGACACTTCTTGATTAGGCCTCTTTCCTATGCTTATAACCAGGGTAGTATTCTGTTATTTCTCCCTTCCTCCAGTATTTTCACATTTATTTGAAGCAAGGGCAGCTCACTTTCCCTCCCTCGTTATACCATAATAGAACAAAACATAATAGAAGCCCCACACCCACATCTCAGACCCTTGGTGGTTAAGATAAGTGATAGCTCAAAATAGTACACCCATCCAGTAATTGTTTGCTGTTAGGTCAATACAATTTTCACTTTTTTAAATGGGTAGAATCTGGTATGAACAAACCTTTCCCTGCTTATGCCATTTAGGTCAGTCCCTCATGTTGCAGTATCCTTTTCTTCTTCCTTTCCTGATCCCTGTCTGTCCTTTCGACACATCTTGGGGAGCACCCTCTCTGTGAGGTCTGCTTTAATTCGCCTACCTGCTCCCCGCCCTAATTAGGTTAGCTCGTGTTCTGCGTGGGGTCCAGCACTCTGCTGACCCTCTGTCAGTACTTGCACATTTATTATAATTGCTGCTATTTTCCTCCCAAAATGTCATGGAGAAATTTCAAACCCAGCAATGTGGCAATACCAGCAACATAAATATCCATATACCATCTACATGGGTTTCCCCAGTAGATGTATGCCTTCATGTACTCTTTCTTTTTTTCTGAATCCAGAAGGAAATAAGTTGCAGGTATTCACTCTTTGTATTAGGCAGCTCTTCCTGACTAACAAAGGAGCTCCCTGACTTTGGATTTAAGTATACACAATCATTTTTGAAGTTTTATTTCTTGATTTGTTCATTCATCAAATACTAATTAAACTAGCTACTATGTTTAGCTAAACCTGGAAGGTTTTTGTTTTTTTAATATATTTTATTGATTTTTTTTTACAAAGAGGAAGGGAGAGGATAGAGAGCTAGAAACATTAATGAGAGAGAAACATCGACCAGCTGCCTCCTGAACACCACCTACTGGGGATGTGCCCGCAACCAAGGTATATGCCCTTGACCTGAATTGAACCTGGGACCTTTCAGTCCGCAGGCCAATGCTCTATCCACTGAGCCAAACTGGTTTCGGCCTGAACCTGGAAGGTTTTGATGAGTAGCTAGCTTGATTAAAAATATGTAGATAATTGAGGATGGTTAGTTCCTAAGGAGAGGATAAAATGTTACCTTGCTAAATGAAAAAAGAACCTGTGAAAGTACCCTCACTCATCAATGCATTCACTCATTTGTTCAGTCACCGACATTTGTTGTCTGTCCTATACCAGGCAGTGCCAGGGGCTCTTAATGTTCACAGACCAGGCTGCTTATCTATGAGATTTCAGTTGCACGCAGGAGGGAGGCAGTCAGCGAATACCCTGGAATATGCTCCTTGATGGAGGTCCCCAGGGTGGTAGGGACACTCGGCAAAGGAGGGCAGGCTAGGCTTTCAGAGTGATTCCAGTGAAATGTGGGCAGGAATTTGAAGGATAAGAATAAGGAGTAAATTAGGCGGATACAAAGAGGAAAAGCACATTGGAGACTGAAGCATCAGCATATTTCAAGTCAAAGGAGCACGAAAAAAGTATGGGATGATCCAGGATCTGCCAGCAGCTTGCTGTAACTGCAGTGGCAGTTGCCAAGGGGCATTTGCGAGAAAAGGGAACAAACACACAGGGCTGGAGGCGGAGGCCCAAGCAGTGAGGGACTTTCTGAGTTCAACTCCGGGGTTGAAGCTTTCCCTGAAAGCCATGGGAAACCATTGAGTGACTCAGGTGGGACAGGGTTAGATATCTGATTGGCATTTCAGTAAACTTATCCTAGAAGAGACTGTGAACAGGACAAAGCTTAATATTTCTAATTTAGCAGACTAACTATTGCTCGATTAGGACTAACTCAAAGAATACAAGGGATTCAATGGCAGGGTTAGGTAATTACTGTGCATGTAGTAAATTAATCAAATTATTGTTTCCTCAACTCATGTCTCTTACCCAAAAACGAATTTTATTTTCTTTCAGACATTTTGTCCTAAGACAACTGACATGTAATTTTTTTTTTTTTTAAATGTATTGCTCACAGCAAGGAGTTAGTAGTCTCTGCAGTTAATATTGCTAGGGGGGAAAAAGACACAAATTGGAAAGGTGGGTAGCTATTATTAGACACACCTGGTTCTGCCTGGGACTGGGTGTCATTTTAAATATTTTATTTCTTGCTGCAGAACGCTTTCTGCTGAGTAAGTGAACGGGAATGAATCAATGAAAACCTGCCCGTGATTCTGGAGATCTTATAATGGATGCCATGTTTTTGTTTATTGGGACAATGAGGCTGATTGACTTGCAGATTGCAGCAGCTCTGACCAAGCTCCCAGTGCTGCATTCCTGGTCTCCATGCTCACTGCAGTGCCTTGGGGCTGCTCTGCAGGATCAGAGGGCCAGGAGTGAGTCTGAGGCAGCACTGGCAGGGGTCACTGGTGCGGATGTTTAAAGTCTGTGAGAGAGACTGTGAAAAGTGACCTAGCCATATGAGTTTCAAATATCATGTTGTGTTTGTTTTAAACTCCCAGACAAGTGCAGATCTCCTTGTGCTCGCTTTAAAGTTCATGCCACAGATGTGCCCATCAACTTGCTTTCTGAAGGGCATGTTATGAGACAGGCTTTCACGTGGGCCAGGGTTTCTCCTTGGTACTGTTGCCATCTTGGGCCCGATAACTGTTTGTTGTGGGAGACTGTCCTGGGGATTGCAGGATGCTTAGAAGCACCCCCGGCCTCCACCACTACAGAGGTCGGCAAACTCATTAGTCAACAGAACCAAATATCAACAGAACAACGATTAAAAGAGCCAAATTTTTTTAACTTAAATTTCTTCTATCGCCACTTCTTCAAAATAGACTCGTCCAGGCCGTGGTATTTTGTGGAAGAGCCACATTCAAGGGGCCAAAGAGCTGTGGGCAAAGTTGCCCCTGCTTCAGAGTCTTAGATGTAGATATTGAAGGGTTAAAATGAAACAAACAAAATAAATAGTTTAGTTAACCTGCTCATGGGTTAATTGCATTTATTCATTTCTCACATATGTATCCATATATAAATATAGACAAAGATGTAGATATAATCTTGTGTTTTTTTGCTGAGTGCTCAAATTCAGAGAGTATTTCATAGGATGAGTAAATCTGAAATATCTGTGGAACTAATTTTACACACACACACACACACACACACACATATATATATGATTTAAATGAATTTATAGAGAAATAAAACTGAATCACGAAAATGTATATCAAATTAAATAGATGAAGTTCCATAATATAGTGTATATTTTTACATCATAACAGCAGAATTAGGACTAAAGCTGTGAGGACAAAACCAAGTTGGTCCTTTTTTAGTTATGGTTTATAGTATTGAACTTATGCATTGTTTTAGAATTTTATTTTTATCTACAAGTTTAATACTTTTTCCACTTTTTAAATGTCATTACTAGTATCTGAAAATAACATTGAGAGATATAAATTTAACTTGTTATGTGGTTATATATGTGCCCTACACATCAAGAGCCTGATCTTTATTCTAAAACATTAACCGCTCAATGTCAAGTTTATAGACTGAGCCACAAGATACCATGGTATAGGGTAGGGGTGTCGAACTCAATCAGAGAAGGGGCCAAAATCTAAAATCCAGCCTAAATAGCGGGCCGAATGGTTTACTGAACAGTCATAAACTGTCATTGTGATGGAAACGCAGCGGAGTGCAGTGATGACAGTGCGGTGCGGGCCACATTGCAAGGCCTGGCGGGACGGATTTGGCCCACGGGCCTTGTGTTTGACACATGTGGTATAGGGTGTTCAGGTATTTAAAAGAGATATTAAGTTGAATATAAGCAATAATTAGTCTACTGTCATTAAGTTGAATAGAGGTATTAGAATTTTTCTAGCTAAATTCAGAAAAGACCAATAATTTTCCAAGAGGAGGAGGATGAAGGAGATAGGTAAGGAAATAACCCACTGAAATTAATTTGTTTCAGCTCAATGTTAAACTATTCTAGCATTTTCCCCCAATAAGCTTTTACTGAGCACTAACTCTCTGCCAGGCATTGTGGTGCCAAGCTGGGTGTTCACAACTACATGATTTCATTCATTCGGTAAAACAGTCCACTGAGGCAAGTCTGGGTAATCCTGTTGTATAGGTGAGGAAACTAAGAATTAAGTACTTAAATACAGGTCATATAGCTGGTCAATATCAGAACTAGAAGTTGAGCCTAAATGTTACCCTTCCTTTACTGGATAAAAGGACTACAGTATACCAGGGGCTTTGTAATGAAGAAATCATGATATGTCTGTCCCTGCCTTCCCTGAGATAGCAGTCTTCATCAGTTCACCTTCACATCTCATTTTCTTTGCATGGTTCTTCTCATTCACATTGAAGCATGAGATTTATCCACCACGTAGCTGATGGACCCAGGGAGCAGAATCTGGGAGTTGTTGCAGTAACCCTGTTCCCTCCAGACCTTCCCATAAAGAGAATATCCGTCAGAAGAATTTTTTGTTTGTTTGTTTCTACCATATATTACAAATTCAAGATGTCCTTATGTTTCAAGTACAACTTCCGGAATAGAGTTCCTTCTTTCTCGAATTTGATCGCATACGTTATGTAATTGATAGAGGCTATAATACCATCTTTGTGTGGCAGTGCCTGCATCTTTTGTATTTAAAATTCCTTAAGACGAGTGACATCTGGGCACAATAGTAGCTATAGTGAGCCTTGCATTAACTCTGTGTTTGTGTTATCTCAGCAAGAGATCACTTGCGAGGAGACAATGGCCTCTTTGTGATCTCCTGGAACACTGCCTGCTTTGACGTGGCCAGCATATGTGCAGCATGGTGGAGGTCAGGGAGGACACATTCATGACATACCTGCCATCACTCCAGACATCCACCTCCAGTCAGAACCAATGTGGCAGCGGGAACCTAGCTGACCCCCTACAACCCCCTACATGTTACGTTCATCAGTTATGGTCTCTGAAATACAAAGCAAAAGCCTTAATTGTACTGTATGGTCCAAATTGACCTCTAAGCAAACAGATTTAATTTGGAAGTAAAAATCTTGATGTCTTCAAAAACATTGTATTTAGAACACATTTATAACTTGAGACCATTTTCTAAATCCAGTTCTGCCAATGGGACTTAGCTTCTCATAAGATATTTTAAACGAGGAAGCCTCCAACCTGGAAAATAGTCAGACAGGAGGAGAGAGATTACAACAGAGTAGAGAGTAGATCTATTATTACAAGGGTGAAAAGGAATCCAATTCATTTTGTGACTTATGTCGTTTTCTTGGCATTACTGAAGACACTGGGCAATCCGTGTTAGGACCCTGGTTACAAATGTGATGGGAGCTCCGTGGAAATGGACCGCTTTGCCTGAATGCTGAGCTGTCTTCTCTCACCATGAGCTAAGCCTTGTGTAACTGACCCCTCTTTGGGGAAGCTCTCCCTATGATCTAAGTCGCTAAACCTGTGTATCACCAAACTTAAGGATGGTTGCAGGTGGTTTATTTAGAAAGCATTTCTTTATGCTAGAGTTCGAAACATAAGCATGTCATATCTTTAGTAAATTTGCCATCTGCAAATATATATTGAGACGAATTTCTTAAAGAGTAATCCAAAACTCTTAGCAGATTGTAAATTCTGAAAGTAAAATGGAGATGCGGCCTAAACCAGTTTTCAGATAATTTTTATCCTGTTTAATCCCTTTTGTAACTTAGCGGCCTAAACCAGTTTTCAGATAATTTTTATCCTGTTTAATCCCTTTTGTAACTTAGTTAGCTAAGTGGAAATTTATTGTGTGACTCAGAGAGATAAAAGGATTGGATGTTTACTATTTCCAAGTCGTAGCACTACTAGGCAAAACAACTCACGTATTAATGTTGTCATCATTCATTTTCTCTGGGAAGTCTTATAGTCTTTCACTTTCAAATTTTGGTATCTGAAATTGGTGAATGTAATTGAGCCCTTAAGCACATTTATCTTCCCTAATTAATAGATAAATTGCTCAAAAGATGCAATGGTTAGGTTGCTGATGGTAAGAAACTTTTTTAGGTTATTGTTTTGTTTTTTAAAAAAAAATGTAGCTTCTGAAAGTAGAGTTAAGAAGTGTTTGCTGATTTTACTTTGTCTTAAGTACATTTTGGGGTGGACTGGGATAGCTTGATGTTGCTATAACAGAGCTACATTATTTTAATTACACAATTCCGTTAAACATCTTTCAAAAGGCTGAAAGTTTATGCTTGTTCCCTCCCTACCCCCACTTGGAATCCCAATGTAGTTTTCAGGGACTCATTTCTTCTGAGATTTTCTATCATCTTTAAAGGGGGAAGATATATCATATATATATATATATATATGTATATATATATATATATATATATATATATGTGTGTGTGTGTGTGTGTGTGTGTGTGTGTGTGTGTGTGTGTGTGAGCATGTATATATGGGTGGGAATGAGGTAGGGAGATAAATGTTTGGACTCAAAGATATAAAGGAATCTTTCAAAAGCATAAACAAGGCAGCCTATGTCAAGGCAAACCTGTCAAAAGGATGCTAAATTTGTTACAACCTAGAAGGGAGGAAAGTCTGACAGTCCATGAACCTTCATTTCTTTATCTACACAATTAGGTGGTTTGCCATACTATTTCTAAATTCTCTTCCAACTCTAAGATTCCCCACTTTATTAACTGCTAACTTGAAATGGAAACAAGGGAAGAGTAGTCTCAGGATCACAGCGGAGCTAAAAAAGCTGACAACCAGGTTTGTAATCCAAGCCAGAGGGTTTGCTGCTCTTTGAATATTGAGTAACAGCTTTCCAACCTTGAATTTAATTACCATCCAAAGTGTCTTATTTTGGTCTGAAAGACCCAGATCTATCTGGTTTCAAGACATGATTTTTTTTTTTTAGAGAAAGTAGACATCTTTATCACGTGTTATTTTTACCAGATGATTTTTATAGTGCTTAATTTTATTCCATTTCAATCCATTTCTCTTTCTCTTCTGCTGTGTGAGTCATCCTGCTGCACTCTGCAAGGTATAATGTAATATCCTCGGCACCTAATAAGCTGGCAGATACATTTCCATTTGAATGTAGATGCTATGGAAAATTTAACTGAATTAGGCTATAATGCCTCACTTACTTTTAAGTGGTCCGTGTTGGAAGATTAATGAAGGAATCTTTCAGTTTATTGTTTTATTTTGGAAATGGAGCAATCTGATGCTTTGAGAGGATAGATTATGACAGGTGCAAGACTGAAATTTAAACACGTAGGCAGAAGGAAGAAATGCATCTTGCAGCCAAGTGGGAAGGTGAGCAGCTTTTGGAAACATCATAGTCGTCCTTCTCTGTTCTACTATCTGTGATGAAAATGAAGGACATCAAAATCATTGCTTGCTAGTCAGTTATTTGGGATGCTGAATTAAGACAGATTTTCTTTAGCCACCATCTCATTTACCCTTCATTA